GCCACCTGGTCAATCCATCTTGTTGGGGTTCTTCCTCTTTTTCTCTGACCCTCCATCTTACCAAGCATGAAATCCTTCTTCAGCGACTGTTCCCTCTTGACACTATGTCCAAAGTATGAGAGATGAGAGACTAAGTTTGGCCATCTTGGCCTCTAAGGAGCACTCTGGCTGTACTTCTTTCAAAACAGATCTATTGATTCTTTTGGCAGCCCATGGCACTTTCAGTATTCTCCTCCAACAATTCTGACTTATATGACCCTATATTAAAGAGTACAACGATGCCATAGGGTTTCCTAAGCTGTACTCTTTATGGGAGCAGACCACCAGGTCTTTTCTTCACTGGTTTTGAACCAGTGACCTTTTGGTTTGCAGATGAGCATTTTAACCACTACTAGGGCTTCTTCCATAAAGCCTGCAGGCTAGAAACTATAGAGTAGTTCTACTTTGTCATATAGCGTTGCTTTGAGTTAGAATCAACTCCATGGCACATAACATTCTATTTAATTAAATAACTCTATTCTGTTTCAGGAACATCAGCTCTCTTGTGTTGAACTGTTTTTGTCCTCTGTATTTATTATCTTCTCTCATATTATTTTAATCCTTTGTCTTTTTCTGATGTTTTGACTATTTCTACCTCAAACCTTTCTTTAATTTTGAGCTAAATAATTATTTTTTTTTGTAATGGTGTTATTTTTATCCTTAGGTTTTTTCTTAGCTCTTCTAGCTCTTTTTTCATTTATTTGTGTTCTGTAAGTTCTTTTAGTGCAAGAATTCACAGGACATTTTCTTCTGTTAGTTCCTGAAAGTGGGGAAAGGTGATGTGGCAGGAAGCATGAGAGTACTGATATTCTATTTTTCCAAAGCAGATTACTACATATAAGGGTAAGTTAAAAAGTACTGCTACAGAATCACAGACACCTTTACTAAGCAAAACTATGTGAAACTGTTGATTCTCAACGTAACTTTTGTTTAGGTCTGTATGCTTCCTAAGGCAGTCTTTCCATTTCTAATCCTTACTCAAAGAATTCTGTATTCTTTGATTTATACCATGTAAAACAGTACTCTGGGCATCCTTGAGGACTTCAAATCATGTTCCTTAATGTTTTCTGAGTTTGGGAAACAAAAAGAAGTCTAAAGGGGCAAGATCAGGGGTGAAGAGTAGATGAGGAAAGCTTTCTCAACAAAACTCTCATAGAAAAAGCCTAGCATTTTAGATGTAAAGCTGTCCTGTATCATACCGTTGTGAATGCAAAATACCTTGTACATGCTTTATAATATATAATAGTGATAATAAACATAATGACTTTACCTTTGGCAAGTAAAAAAGTGATCCAAGAAAGTTTCAGCACCAACACAGAATTTATTTCAGAAGATATCCTAGTACACAAACAGAAAACAGAAAAAAAAAAAAAAATTAACACTGACACAAAATTTTACAACTCTGCCTTTTGGTTGTTCTTTGTTTTAATTACATATCTGAGGTAAGTGCACAACAGATTATAGCTCATTTTAGTGCATATTTTAGACCCAAACTCAATTTGTCTCAATTTACTTAGTGTTTCTACTCAAGACACTTAGTCCATTGAATATACATTTTATGAGGCAATCGTGAGTATCTCAATTCTATACTAAAAGTAAGGAAAGGAAACAACAGACAATAATGTACTTGGTTTCCAATTATTTTAATACTTTTATGCTATGGAGTTCTGGTATGGCACTATAGGACAAGAACTGGACCACAAAGTCAGTTTGAACTGCAAGGTCAGTGGTTCAAACTTACCAGCTGCTCCTTGGAAACTCTATTTAGGGTCCATATGAATATGAATCAACACAAAGGCACTTAACAACAATGCTATTTTCTAATTAAAATTAACACTTGTAAGCAGCAAAATAAGGATCTCTGGTAGCATAGTGGTTACAAATCGGGCTGCAAACCACAAGGTCAACAGTTCAAAACTACCAGCTGTTCCACGGGAGAAAGATGAGGCTCTCTGCTCCCATAAAGATTTACAGCCTCGGAAACCCTGTACAGGGTCGCTATGAGTAGGAACCGACTCCACGGAACATAACAGCAACAGCAAGCAGAAAAATGGAGTCTTAGTGTGGCACTGCAGGTTAATATGCTGGACTGCAAGGTCGGTTTGAACAGCAAGGTCAGCGGTTCAAGCTCACCAGCCACTCCTCAGAAACCCTATACAACAACAACAATTTAATACATTGCCTTTAAGAAATTTTCGTTCGTAGATACTCACTTGTTGAAATTAATGGATTCATATAAATTAAATAGTAACAATAATTTCCCTTTATATTACTGTCCCCACTACTACTTGAGCAAGAAAGAAAATCTCACCTACAAGTCATTCTCTCTGTTCCCAAAGAAAAATGCTGGAGCTCTTTCATGAGGTCAGTGCTAGTAGAGCATGTAGTCTATCTACATTGCTTTTTAATATTTTTTAATTTTGATCTTCATATTTATTCTTCCACAGAAAAGTGATGTACTGACTCTTTATACAGTCTCTTGAATGGAACCACAGTAAACTTACATTTCTCCCAGAGTTGGTGATACGTGGCACTGCATCAACTTCTACCTTTTCAATCCCTCCCTTGCAGTCAGGGATTCAGTGTATAGTATTTCTTTTGTGAAGAGACTAACAATCTCCATAGGGCTTAAATCTATGAATTAATTTATTAAGTAGCATGCAATAATCAATCAAGTTAATCTTGACATTATCAACATGACTGAGATTACTCCAGAAAAATCTGTGTATTTCTTCTCATTTAAAAATACAAAAAGTGAAAATAACATGCATTGAATTACTTACGAACTGCCGGGTTGTGTCAAATATATAAGTTCACATGTCCTACAAAGAAGAAATAATTACATTAACATTAGTACTCTTTTCTTTTTTTAGTTGCTTTTTAAGTTTTTTCAAAATTTCTGAAAATGAGATTAAGAAAATACTCCATAATAACAGCCCTAGTGAGAGATTTATACAATGGAAATTATAAAACACTGCTGAAAGAAACTGACGACCTAACTGACAGAAGGCAGTTCGTGCTCATGGATTGGGAAACTACAAAAAGTTTGTGAAGCTCCTTCATATAAGCAAGATGTCAAGATTACCTGAAGTGATCTGCAGATACAATACAATCTCAATCAAAATTCCAACAGCATTTTTTACAAACAGGGGAAAACTAATCCTCAATTATTTATGGAAATACAAGAGCCCCAAATAACCAGAGAAATTTTGAAGAAGAACAAAGTAGGAGATCTCCCACTTCCTGACTTCAAAATATATTACACAACTATAGTAATCAAAACACCATTGTACTATACTGGTTTAATACTGAAAACTCAAACACAAATCCATATATATATATATAGTCAACTAATTCTAACAAGGGAGCCAAATCCATTCAGTGGTGTAACAGATTTTCACCATTTCACCATTGAATGTATTTTAAACAAATTTTTCTGGTAACCTGGATTTCCATACTGAGAAAAATAAAAACACGATCTATACCTCATGCCATACGCAAAAACTAATGCAAATGAACTAAGAACCTCAATGTTAAATCTAACACCATGAAGCTTTTGTAAAAAAATATAGGAGCAAAGTTTGGGGACCAAATCTTTTTCAATGACAGATACTCACACAACAATGAATGTATGAGCAAAAGAAAGCAAAATAAATAACTAGGACTTCATAAAAGTTAAGTATTTCATCCCTGAAAAGACTTTATCAAGAGTGCAGAGACAACTTATAGAATGCGGAAAAAAAGTCTTCTGGAACAACATTAATATGCTTATATTGAAATACATCTAAAAGAAAGCAGCGCAGCGTCGAACTTATGGAGAACTTCAAACTCAAAGAATCCAGACTTAACTGTCCCTACTGAAATTGGAGGAGTCTCCACAACTATGATCCTGACTTGCTTTTCAAACTTTTAATTGAAATTATCCCCTGAAGTTACCTTTAAACTAAGTAATAGTTTAGTTTAAGAACTAAAAATTATCACCCTTGAGTATTTTTTGTTTCTTTTAAAAGAAAAGCATCCATATCTACGTAAGCACCAAGGTCCAAGCTATTTTAAAGCCTAGATGAAAAGGGAGAGGCAAGGAGATTAAGTAAATGGTAGTGAAACAACTAGAAGAAAAATAACAAGAATATTGACACTATATGAAGATCATTGCCAATGTTTCTGATCACTATGTCTAGAAATTATGGAATGGGATGGGTTTTGGTATGAATATTTTCACCAAAAATTAAGTATAAAGCAAGGCAAAAAAAATGTTGTTATATGTATTTTTATTGTAAGAAAAAAAACCCACGAAGAATATTCATAATTTGAAAATCATAACAATGTTCTCACACTTTATTCACATTTTAAGAACTATTCATTTTAAAAACAAAAAATATATAGCATCATAAAGGTACATGTTTCTAATTTATTATATTTTACATCCCGGTGTGGCGCTCGCTGCTGGATAATGCTTCTTGGAAACCCTATATAAGGTCATTATGGGTCGGAATCGACTCAACAGTACTAACACCAACAATAATATAATTACAAAACAAAATACAAAATGACTAGATTCGATATGTTAATTTTCTGCTCTGTTATTTGGAATGCAGATATATTTTGTAATTTATCCTAGTTATAACAGATCTGGTTAGAATCCCAGATTAGGCCATAAAAGCCTATCTAACTAACAGCCTCAGTAAACACAACTGAAAAGTACTATAAAGTCTAATTGTTCCAGATAACAACTTCCACAATGGCAGAGTGAGAAGTCTTACGGATAGCTCCCTAGTGAAACAACCACAATTGGTGGAAACTAGAGGTGGGGGAAAGCAAACAGCTATTTAAAGTCTCTGGAAATTATCCAAATGACATACAACAAATAGTTAATTAAAAAAAACACACTAAATCTCAGTAAAAACAGTGTCAGTCTATGGAGTTCAATTCAAAATTTATCCTCTGCTGCAATTCAGCATAAGGAAACTCTCCCCAGGTGGCTGCAGTTGAGACACAGTTTCCAGCCTAAAGCGATGGTATATTCATGAGAACAGATTGCCGGCATTTCTCATCACATCCAGATCTATGCTGCAGATCTGTATCCTAGGCAAGAAGAGTTGAGAGGTCTGGGGTGCCCTTCTTCATTTGACCCTCACTTGCAGGGTGGGAGCTCTACCCAATACACAGCAGGCTGATACTATGAAGGCCCAATCATCCTTGTGTCACTTCATTCACAAAACAGAGGTTCCATGCCAAGAAGCAATCTAAGAAGACTAGGGACTATCATCCCTGCCCAGTGTCCCACTCCTGAAGCAGGTTGTTGTTACTAAGTGCTGTCAAGTCAGTTTTGACTCACAGTGGCCCTGTATATAGTTTCCAGGAGGTCCTGGTGTGGCACTGTAGGATCAGCACTGGATTGCTAATCACAAAGTTACTGGCCCAAACCCACCAACCTCTCCCTGGAAACCCTATACAGGTCACTAAGTCAGAAATGACTCAATAGCATTTAACAACAAAAATAGGGTTTCCAAGAAACAACTGGTGGGTTTGAACCTCCTTCCTTGTGGAAAGCACTCCAAAGTTTATCCTACATTGCCGCACTAGAACTCAGTATGCGTTCTGAGAAGCAGGCCACTTTTCCCACCTCCACCTCCTGGACAGTGGAACACAAATTTTCCCCTAAGGGCAAAAACAGGCTTTAAGAACAGAAAGCTCTGAAGCTTTCCCCAAGAGAACTAACTTAATTTGGAACAGAGTGTAGAAAGTTCAAGTATAAGGGAGATTTTACCGTTAAGTGTCATAGAGTCGATTCTGACATATCAAACCTGTATAGGGTTTCTAAGGAGTCACTGGTTTAAACTGCCTATCTTGTGGTTATTAGTCCATCACTTACCCTATAGCACCATACCAAGGAGATTTTGGTGGTAAGTAATCAAGAGGGGGCTGGTGGCTCCCTGAGAGCAACAAGTTAAACCCTGTAGTTGCTGGGTGCAGCTGAGTCAGTTCTGACTCATAATGATCCTATGAACAACAGAGAAAACCACTGCCCAGTCCTGCGCCATCCTCACAATTGTTATGTTTAAACGCATTGTTGCTGCTGCTGCGCCAATCCATCGCCTTGGAGGTCTTCCTTTTTCTCTCTCCCCGCCCCCGCTAACTCTCCACTTGACCAAGTATGAAGTCCTTCTCCGGAGACTAATGTCTCCTGACAAAATATTCAAACAACAAGAGACAAAGTTTCATTATCCTCAATTCTAAGGAGCATTGTGGCTGTACTTCTTCCCAGACCAAGATTTGTTCTCCTGACAGTGTATCATGGTACTTTCAATGCTCTACACCATCACCATTTCATAGGCATCAATTCTTCTGAAGTCTTCCTTATTCATTGTCCAACTTTTACATGCACATGAGGTGACTGAAAATACCATGACTTGGATTAGGCCCACCTTAGTCCTCAAACTAACAGCTTTGCTCATTAATACTCTAAAAAGGTCATTAATACTGTAAAAAGGTCAATGCTGTAAAGTTGTCAGATTTCTTGACTGCTGCTTCCATGGGTACTCACTATGGATCCAAGCAAAATGAAGTCTTTGACAATGTAATCTTTTCTCCATTTATCATGATGTTATTTAGTGGTCCAGTTGTGAGGATTTTCATTTTCTTAACTTTGAGGTACAAGCCATCCTGAAGTCTTTGATCTGTATCAGTAAATGTTTTAAGTCTTCTTCACTTCCAGTAAGCAAAGCTGTGTCAACTGCTTAGCACAGGTTGTTAATGAGTCTTTCTTCAATCCTGCTGCCATTTTCTTCTTCATGAAATCCAGTTCCTCAGATTATTGTCTCAGCATACTAACTGAATAACTATGGTCATAAGAGACAACCTTGGTGCACACCTTTTCAGATTTTAAACCCTAAACCATCCAAAAATTTAACAGGGAAACCAAAGAATAAGACAGCTGACATAAGTTCTCAGGTCAGATCAAGCCTCAAAGATTTGTCTCAGAGATGGTAGTGGTGGTTATAAAACTCTGTGAATACAGTAAAACACACTGAGCTGTATACTTTAAATAATTCAACTGTATGGTATATAAATTATATCTCAATTTTAAAAAAATCTAAATGTTCTTTATACTGTTTGTATCTGTGGAAAAATGAATTCCACCTTCCATCTAAGCACACGTTAAATAAGTCCCATTGACATAGTGCCATGGTAAGGGAACTCTTAACCCATCTCGCAGAAAAAAATAGACATGCAGACAAAGGTATATATATCTAACATTAATGGCAATGGTCAAAGAATAATTAGAGGAAGACCTCTAGCAACTGGGGTCTTTAGCAGCCTGGTTTCCAATGAAGGGGAGTGAGAGTACTAAGGCAAAAGAGATCAGTAGCACTGGGGACCAAGGAAAATGGAGAAAGAAAAACCGGAAAATATTGGTTTTGTGGATTTGTTTACTTATTTAATGCTAAATCTATGTTACTCTCCAGCTTAAAACCCTTCAAACACTCTCCATCAGCTGCAAGACAAAACCCACAAATTCCTTAGCACATTTCATAAGAACCAGATTACTAATCTGATCTCTTCCTACCTTTTCAGGCAATAACAATTTCAAAGTACATCATGTTTTCTGACTTAGTACAAAGGTTAATCAAACACTCTGACTAGATTGCTCAGTTCCAGTTCCTACTCATTGTACTTGATGAACTTGTACTTACTCTTTAAACTATCAGACATCACTTTTTCCTGACCAAGTCACACTCTTAACATTACCCTCCCCATTAAAGCACAATTTAACACTCTGCCTTCTATATAACTCCTGCTTTTAACATAATTTTTGTTGTTGTTAAGTGCTGTTGAATTGGTTCTGAACACAGTGATGCTGTATAGGGTTTCCAAGGAGTGGCTAGTGAGCTTGAACTGACGAACTTGTGCTTCAAACCGACTTTGCAGCCCAGCACATAAACCCACAGCATCACACAAGGACTCCTTTAACAAGTAAACTTTCAAGTTGGTTTTGATCCACAGGGGGCTTCAAAAAGTTATAGACAAATGGAATTAAAAGATAAT